TTTTTTTTTTTTTTTTTTTTTTTTGTTAAAGAAGCCGAGTACTCCTACTGTCGCAACTGTCAAAGGCAGTGCCAAAAAAAAAAGAGAAAAAAAAGGAAAAGACCTTTGAAAAAAAATAGAGAAAAGAAAAAGAAGAAGGAAAAAAAAGAAGAGATAATGAATGCGTACTATTATTTTATTTAAAAGAAAAGACAAAACTCTGAAACTTCAAAAATTACGGCCAGACCTGGATGAATCCGACTGCAATCACGTCCAGAACTTCGTATTAAAAAAAAAAAAAAAAAAAAAAAGTTTTTCTGTGAGCATGCCCTAAGGGGGTGGTCGTTCGAGTGCCACGTGGTAATAAAATGAAATGATTTTTTTTTTTCTTACAAAAAAAAAGTGGTTGCGCAGGTGCCACGTGGACGACAGGTGAATTTTGGCGTGCCACGTGGATATTCGGGTGTCACTTTTTTTTTTGGTTGACAATCCAGATCAGTTCAGGGGCGAAGTCCCACTAGCAGCGTTGAGCTACCTCAACGCCTGAACCTGGACGTGTTTGTGGAGACGTGCAGTTCAGGAAACGCGACACCATTTCTGCACATCTTCGCAAAAGCGTCCAGATTCTGGCGTTGAGGTAGCTCAACGCTGCCAGTGGGACTTGGCCCCAGGTGTCACGTGGATATGTCAAGGAAGGACTCGGGAAAAAAAAAAAAAAAAAAAACCGGTCAATGGTCCGATGGTTTATGTCAGAGCATACTCACACGTATGTATCGGACTGCAATTACGTCCAGAAGCAATCGGTGGAAGAAGTCCTCGTCCTCGTTGAGTACGTTCTCAGTGTGCGTGCGAAAGTGCGGCAGCACATGTAGGGATTTTGCTCTTAGGGCAGAGTGCTTACATGATGGACTTTTTCTTTGGATGCATCTGACGGGAACTGCAGCCAGATTCATCCGCAAAACACCGAGTGTGAGTATACCATTCGTAGGAGTGTCGAATGCATGTGGTTTGAATGAAAGCCACATTCATGTTTTTTTGTTTTTGCACCCTCACTCTATTCTATGCAGTGGTTCGTTGTCTACACACACACACACACACACACACACACACACACACACACACACAGAGAGAGAGAGAGAGAGAGAGAGAGAGAGAGAGAGAGAGAGAGAGAG